AGCTTTGAGATTTGCTGGAGTTTCTTGCAGATTATCACGTCCGCATTCGGCCTTGGCCCAGGCCATGCATGCATCAACAAAAGCCGATGCACTGCACTTCGGAGTCACCAACTGAATGACTTTGTCGAGCAGTTCGCGATTGCATTCCAAAAAACTGGTCGATTTCAAAATTGCTTCCGCGTTCGATTTGATTTTTTGCTCGCAGAACTGTATCGTGTTCGGTATCTCAGGCAGCATGGCCAACGCATAGCCGGAACACATCTCGTTGTTGGTGGATGACTTTTGCAATGGCTCTTCACAGATAGCCAGCCCTTCCACTAGCTCGTACTTCTTGCACAAATTCGACCTAGGGATTTCACGCAAACTCGAAGGCCGAAGATTTTACTAAATAGCTGGAAATAAAACCATTTTATGTGTAAACTATAGATATTGCTTCTTTTTGTTCATAAACTCGAATTTTTTAGAATTTTTTGAATCTAAAAATTCTGGAAGTGGGTTTTGGTGGATCCTCAGGATTGTTCAAAACCGCTCCTGGTTCTGGAAGTGGATCCTCAGGATGGACCAGGGCATTGTCAAACCCAGTCTGATCCATCCTGAGGATCCACCAAAACCCACTTCCAGAACATAATTTTCAAGGTGAATATTGAAATATTTCGAAATAATACGAATTTTGGTGAATCCCAGAGAATTTTAGAGAAAAGAGAGAAATATTGAAATTTTAGATGAATTTTAAGTTGCGTGAAACCCCTAGAATTCGACACATCGATGATGTTTTCGGACGTGAGTCGCACCTTTGCCAAATAGAAAAATTGCAGGAACTCTTTGAACGCCGCAGCAGATGCATCAACGATTGGGACGTCACCTTGTTCGGGCAGTGAACCATAGAACATCGTATCAAACATTGGGTTGCAGACCGACAGGATATTCTTATGAGCAGGAACAGTTTCAACGTGGTCAGTGCCTTTACCAAACGCAAATTTCACATCAGCCGTCTTTGCATCCAAGTACAACTTTTCGGAATTGTTGCGAGTCAAGTGGTTGTCCTTTTCGAACACCAAGAAGCAAGACCATGAGTCATGGCACCTTTCGCATTGTGAAAACAAATTTATTCTTAAAATTCCATATGAAAATACTCACTACACGAAAAATCTTTTGATTGCTTTGATGTTTCGAATCCGAACGTTTCAATTGATTTTTTCGATTAGAAATAATTACTTTGAGACTGTTTTTGTTGCGAAATTGCTTACACTCTGAATGGAATGACTCATTTATTATCTCCTTTACACAATGTGGAAAGAACTGTAATGTGTATTTTCCCCAATAAATGTTGACATATCTCGTAACCTGAATTCAATGATCATTAAACGCGTTCATTGGATCTGTTCAAGTTTCAATTCTTTCACTTTCAATACTACCAATTCAAATTTCTTTCAGAAAAAAGGCTACGAAATAACGAGAAAAAAAATTGTTTGCATATTTCAAATCAGAGTGGTTTTAATGCACCACACTGCACTCTAACATTAGCTTAGCAAGGATATTGTGGTTTATACGACTGTGTGCATCATGTCTATGTTTTGTTTAAAAACTCAAATTGCCCGCTTTCAAAAGGCAACTATCCAATCCGATTGTTTAATACAACTGAGTGTAGTTAACTTCAGTTTGTGGTAATTTTATATATATATTAGGGCGGGTCAATTTGTAGGGAGCAAAAAAAAGTCGATGAGCGCGATAACCTAGCGCGATTCTATGGGCCATTCTAAGAACTTCTCACCAAGAGACCATAGCTCTATCTCGAAAAACGAGCCCGCCCATTTTTACATGTAGTTATTTTCCCCAAAAAATCAAAATTGGACTCAAAAAGTGCATAAAAAGGGCAAAAAACATATTTTTATGGGGGGTTTTCGGGGTCAAGGAATCCATTTATGATATTTATTTTAAAAAAAAGTGCCGCCAGAGGGCGCTTTCCTACAATTTTCTACTTTTCTTGGGAAAATTGACGTTTTTTCACCATTTTTTAACCATAACTCCCGCAGTATACAATTTTTTGACTCACCGTTTTCAACAATTTATATTCAAAGAAAAGCTGAACAACTTTCCTGATCATATCAGCCTGAAAAAATCACATTCAACTCACTTTATTGGCTTAAAACCACTTTTCGCTACAAATTGATATTTTAGAACATTTTCGATGCCACATAACTCTTCAACTGCTTGAAATAGAGCAACGCCACCTGAAGCAAGTTTTTAGTACTCCTCAAGAACTTTGCATATCGAGTACTAAAAGTACTAAAAAAGTACTACGAGAAAAATTCTTAGAATGGTCCATAGAATCGCGCTAGGTTATCGCGCTCATCGACTTTCAAATTGACCCGCCCTAATATATATATATATATAATTTAACTACTGAAATTGTATCTGCTCAAAAATAGAAAATCGTCTCCAAACAAATTTTTCATTCGGAATTCGAATTCGCCATTCTATTCCGAATTCATGTTGACAGTGCAAAGCGCACTCTGTTTGGATGATGACATCATGTAGATCTACATGCAATAACACGTCATATCACGCAGAGCTACTCATAAAACAAAACGACGTAGACTACAGCATATCATTGACAAGTGATTCAGATCATAATTTACAAAAATTTCATTGAATTTTTGGATTTTTCTTTGTATTTATTGAGATTTATATCAAAAGTGAGCTCTACCGAATTATTAAAATACAATTGAAATTAAATTCATCACCGCAACAACAAAAACAGTACAGTTTGTCAACGAGTGTCATCGCTGTTGAACAGCTATTTCACAATAAGTCTTTTGATGCAGCCATTTTTAAGGTATGAATCATTTGCTGACAAAAACATTTCTCTTGTTCATTGTTCGGTTTGGTTACTCTCCATCATTCCGTTTTCAATCATAAACTTTTGGATTTAATGTTTTCCTCACATTTTCACTACTTCGTACTCTACAGAGGCTTGTAGGTTTAACACAATTATCTTTGCCCACCAATAAAAAAGTTCAAGTCACGTTCATCTTAATAAATTGCGCAGTATTCGAATCGCATCGCATGTCAGTAACCAATTGAATTCTTTGCTTTTCCAGAAAGATCATTTGCGCAGCGTGAACTAGTAGCCATGCTTTGGGAACAGAACGATGAAGTCAATAAGTCGGCGTTCGAGAAACTGAAGGACGAATACTGCTACGATATTCTGCGCCGGTTGCCGTTAGATGACTTGTGTGCTCTCAGTGGTACCTGTACTCGATTGCACAGTTTGTGCGGCAAACAGTTCTTAGAAAAATATCCATCAAAGGTCATGCGCATCGATTCGATTCAAGAAGACGGCACATGGGTAAAAGAGCCACGCGATGAAATGTACATCAAGTGTTTTGACAAAAGCATTCGAAATGTGATCCTAAACGGTGACGGCCTAGAAACAAAGTTAGACGTAGTCAATGAATTCTACAAGGGCAAAGAGATGGAGGGTGTTGTGAAGGAAGTTCACTTCAACAATTGGCGCAGATTGGATGGTGCTGGCATCAAACTTGTCGACATGTTGAAATCCGCTGAAACCATCACCATCGATTATTCTGCTATCGTCGAGGATCCGTACGATGGCATTTTCAAGTATGCACCAAATCTAAAACTCTTGAGTGTTCGAAATTTGAATTTCACCAGCACCGACTGGTTGCAACAACGATACGCCCAGCTTGAAAGTTTCGAGTATCATTCACTTTCGCTAGGTCCAGATGCAAACAAGATAAAATTATTGCTCGACACCAACCCAAACATTCAACGATTCTCACTTTTTTGCACAGATGTGAATGACATCGTTCAATTGATGGCAAAGAATGTGGAAATTGACGAACTGTTCGTGCATTTTAGATCTGATCCAAGTGGTGGTGCGTTAACTGCTAATGACATCCATTTCAATTATACGATGAATATTCTGATGAAGTTACTCGCTGCTCAAAATGTGAACTTGCATTTGTTGGTTTCCAAAGCTGATATCATTTCAGGACTGGCATTCCTTCATTCAAACATGGTTGGTGTTTATTTCAACGTTTCCATTGACGAGGTGCTTACCAAAATGTATACGTTCGAGAATCTCCAGTTTTTGCGCATCGCAGCATCACATTTACCGTTTGCATACACCGATATGATTGAAAAGATGCCCAACTTGACTGAACTGTACATCGACGAAATTTCCCACTTCAATTTCCAAAAATTGCATCAAACTTTGCTGGCTGCTGTTGGCCAACTGGTGAAACTAATGAAAATCTTTCTCTATGATTTCACTAACCAACTCACAGAAATCGATTTTTTGGCATTGGACCAAGAACGCATGGAACTTCGTGGCGCTGCCCATTTGAAGATTTACATCCATTCAAAGGACTTTTTCGCCAGTTTCCCGCTCAAGTTTGTTGAATTCGAAATGATCGAAATTGTTGCAGCCGAAACTGAACCGTCCAACTATCCATTCTTTTTGAATTACATTCATGGCATATTTGGGCACAAAGCTTTCGACTATAACTTGAATAAACACCACCAGGCTGGGCCGAGTGGTACGAGCAAAACGGTTGAAGGTTATGAAAGTGATGAAGGTGATTTGGAGGTCAAGCAGACTGAGCCGTAATGCAAGTGGCACGATTGAAGACAGAATCAAAATATTCAAAGAGAAATATTACAATCTAAAAGCAAAAAAAAAGTATCAAAACTTTAGCCTTTGAAAGCATCTCTTTATTCGTATTCATAATCAATATAGAAATTTAAGAAAAAGTCTCATTTTTTTACATATTTTACATAATCTTTTAGTTTATTTTTTTCGTAATCAATTTACATTAATCGTCATCTATTTTCCATGTATGGAACACGAAAAGACATTATCTTTTAAGCACAATAAACATTTTGATTGACACTTTAATATGTAAGCAAAACTATCTATCCTTAAACTTTGACTATTTGACTTCAGCATTTCTTTCATTTTTCTTATGAACTTAATCAAATGGCTTTAACTTGAGTTTCATTCGAGCAACGTGGTGGCCACTACACCTAATCATTTTTTTCGGGTAAGTAATTCAATGAGATGAAAATATGCAATTTCAAATGTTTCGCCCGAAGAGAGAAACCTTCTAATAGAATAATTACAATTATCCATTGAATTATAACTGGCTCATACTTTTTGTTGGAAAGAATTTTTTGATTTCATTGATCAAAAAATAAAAACCAAAAATTCATTGAATAAATTTGAAATTTGAATTTGAAATTCTGGTCGGAATTTGTGTTACATCGATAGCCAACGCCCTCTGCGTGAGTGATGCTGCTTTAAACACACTCACACAACATGACATTTCGATCGCCTAACAAAAGACACCCATTGTACAACACATAGAGCATCGGAACAATGAGTCGAACCCCAAATTGCAAAAATTTTCAATAAATTTGTGCATTTTTCTCAGCTTCAATCGAAAAAAGAATTTTGTCAAAACTGTTGCACGTTCATGTTCGATTCAAGTTGATTATATTGGAAAAGAATAGACACTTCTTGTTATTTGTCGTGAATTACGCAACAATTGTTCCTAACCTACGTTCATTGCATAGCTATTTCATAATCAAGCTCTCGAAGCCGGCCATTTTTTTGAGGTAAACAATTTATTGGTTGAATCATTTGTATTGTTGAGTTTTATTTTGATGTGTTTTGGTTATGGTTATGGTTTTGTGAAAGCGACAATCCATTTCAATCAAACAATCATTAAAATTGTATTCCAAAGTTGAAATATTTTGTTGAAAAATTTCTCAATTTTCCCCACAGTTGTTTTTTCGTCAACCCCAAAGAGCCATCCGAATAGGAGAAAAGTGAAGAGGATACCGAATAAATCGCTGAACAATTTCCACCGACATCAATCAGAATGTCTTTGCTGAAATACAGCAACCGAGCTCTGAATCCGGCCATCAATACCTTATATTTAGATGGTGTAACCGCTGACGTACGTTTTATATTCAAAACCAAAAACGATCAATTCGACACTGTTCCAGCTCACAAACCATTGTTGATGGCGGTGAGCAAGGTGTTCCGTGCAATGTTCAATGGTTCATGGAAAGAAAAAGACTGTGTGCAAATTGTTGATACAACAGCGGTTGCTTTCAAAGATTTTTTGCAATTTTTCTACTTCACGGAAGTAGCAGTGAAAATGTCAACCGTGGCCGCCGTCATGAATCTGGGTCAAAAGTACTTTGTTGCTGATTGTGTTTCAGCTTGCAGCCGATTTTTGTCCGACAATCTGACCAACGACAATGCGTGTTGGGTGTATGCTCTGGCGGTGATCTGTAATCGGGACGAACTGAAGAAGTTGTGCGAAGTGACGATCGGCATCAACACATCGACGGTGCTGAAAACGAGCAGTTTCATCAGAAGTGATCAGAAGATCATGGCTCGTATTTTGAAGTTGGATTCGTTGACCTGTGTTGAAACTGAGCTGTTCGAAGCTGCATTGGCATGGGTCAAGGCAACGGCCAAACAGGATCAACTGAACAGCGATGTAATATTGGCTCATCTTGGCGACTCATTCTACGATATTCGATATGAATTGATGCCAATGCAAGAGTTCACCACCATTTTTTCGTCATACGAAACCTTATTCACGGCTGATCAGCGCAGAAGCATCATCCAATCGATTGCATCGAAAGAATTCGAAACAAAGACAGAAGTGAACATCGGTCGTGAATCTGCCTGGTACAAATTACCGTTCATAATTTGCGAACGCAACTCAAACATCTCGAACCAGCCGTACGAAATCGCTGACATGGAAGTGGAAACATTCTCAACCAACAAACCATTGCTGTTGCGTGGTATCATTTGTGCCGAAATTTATTATTTCGACGATTATTTCAGCCCAATCATGGATGATATTCCCGGTCAAATAAAAATCTTCGAATTCCGTGCCACCACAAATGATGCCAAGGTTGGGCTACGCACTATCTATGAAGACGATGACATTGAACTGGAATACGATGACAATGAATACAATTTGTGGCTCAACAAACCAGTCATCATTAAGCCCGGTAAAAAGTATCAAATTCAGTTGACGCTTGATATGGAAGACGAATTCAGCACAAATATCAAAATGAAGGGACATCAGGTGGCTTCGAATGGATTCGTCATTACTTTTCATACGGCACAAGAACGTGGTCTCATTTCTGGACTCAAATTCAATCCGTATTGATTGAGATCCATCTGGACTCATCTTCAACCCGAAGCTCGTTAGCATGGGCATATTGAGGTGACTTTAGTCTCAATTCAACAAACGAAAGGATTTTAAACAGACCAATTCGACTCATATTGATCGACAGAATTAGCGATTGATCCTTTTTTAATCCACAAAAAAAATAGAAAAATCAAAAGAAGAAAAAAATGATTTAGAATAAGAACAAAAAATTGAACTCAGAAATGATTGGCAAACAAATATCTCCGTTTAAGACGAAAAATTATTGAACTTTTTTTTTTCATTTTTGACATAGAATTAATGTATTGGTCTCTCTTAGCTCTTCATTTTTGAGAAAAAGAATATTTTATTCTGAAGAAAAAAAAAACACATTTCTTCTAAAGAAGTTCTTTGAAGAAGCTAATCAGCCAGTGTGACTGTACTCATCCAATGGAAAACAAAGTTACATTATTTCATTCCATAAATCATCAATTTTACATCATTTGACGTAGTGTATAGCAATATCGGCACTGCCATTGCGTTCAATTGACTACACGATTCATATTTTGTACCGAACTGCTTTATGACTATATATGGTACCGTCTCGCATGAATGGAATATGCGTCGAGCACCAAAAGTACATTTCTGTTTTTGTTGCAGACTTCAATATTTATCTGCATCCTCAATAATTTTTATTATTTTCGTCTCGTTTCTACTTTTCTTGTCTTTTTCATCTCCTAATTGCATTTGGAATTCCCCCATACAGTATAACATCAACAAACATGCGTGCGCAGTTCAGCTACGTACCACGTTAGGCAATAAAACTGATGCATTTTCGTCATAAACTGACTTCCCTTTTTGGGTAATTCCCGACGTACCCGACATTTGTGCTCAAAATGTGCACTCAAAACAATTAGCATATGCTAATCCCTTTTTCTTTCGTCTACCTTCCATACCATTCGGAACTTTAAGCCGAATTGATGGTTCACATTCCCAATACCTTGTCAAGTGCAAACCCATCCCTTTTTACCTACTTATCTCATTTCATTGGTCAATATGCCTTCCCCACTATTTTGCAGAATATTGATAAGAAAAACAATTAGTTAAGCTAGGGAAAAAATGTGTCTCTAGAACGTAGTCTTCTGTAACTCACCAGCCAAGCAAGACATAGCTCTGCTTGTGCCTCATTTGATCAATTTAAGAATAAAATAAAAACACTTAGTAAAAAAAAAGTGTTTCGTTTCATAGAAGTAAGGAAACTCCCTAGTATAGTAGCATTCAAAATTCTACACATAAAAAAAGTTCATATTTGTCAACATAACTAGACATAAGCATTGATCGCAATAAAGGAAAATTGAACCGAAGAAAAAATCGAGATAAAACTGAAACAGAAATAAAGAAATATTCTCTCAACACCGACCATCATTCTCTTGAATCATGAAAATGTAATCTCAGTACACAATTTGTTCATGAATTTGCGTTCTGATGTTTCTTTCATTCCAATCGTCGGCTGTAAACAAATTTCAATCTTAGTCAGATCTAAAAAAGTTGATGTGAAATTCGTACATATCTCAAATGCGTCTCATTTTTACAAGCGCTGCATATTATGGTAGAACATTTGATTCCGCCTTTACATCACATTCGCTCTGCATGAGTTGTGAACGAAATAGAAGTTGTGTGTCCGTTTGTGTGTCTGTGTGTGACTCTGATGTCATATTAAGCAATGCCGTTATCCAATACACATTCACATCAAGTGAATAGTGTCTATATTTGATACGCTCATGTCAGTGGCAATTAGCCGAAACATCATATTTTTCCATCGCTCGTCGAAACAACACACATTCCTTTGGTTGACACAATTCACATTGAGTTTTTAAGAAATTGACAAGAAAATAAGTGGAAATAACAATCGTTTTTGCTATTCGCTCATAATTAGTGTTGAATAAAAGTGGTTTTTTTCATTGACTTGGCCAAATTAATGGCAATCATTTAGTGCATGAAGTCAAACACATTTTGCATTACATATTAAGGTAAGGTCACTTTGACAATTCCAAAGCAACATGTTTATGTTCGTGAACAAAAATTTTTCACCAAGAAAAAGTGTCTTTGTTCGGCGACAAGGCGATTTATTATGATCATAAACTATGTGGTGTAGAAATTCAATTGCAAATTTAAAATTAACACATTTTGACTAAATTTTCTTCAACAGTGGCAAATGCTCTGACATTTCATTCGAAATCAAATTCATCACCGCAAAAAGGATAGCTTTACAATTTCTTCGAATTTAACAACTGGCAGCTTCGCTGGTGAACAACTATTTCAGCAAAAGTCTTTTGAAGCAACCACTCTAAAGGTATGATTTTCATTCGCACTTCAGTAATCAATTGAATTCTTTGCTTTTCCAGATCGATCATTTGCGCAGCGTGAATTAACGGCCATGCTTTGGGAACAAAATGACGAAGTGAATAAGTCGGCGTTTGAGGATCTCAAGGATGATTATTGCTACGATATTCTGCGCCGGCTGCCACTAGATGACTTGTGTGCTCTCAGTCGTACCTGTACTCGATTGCACAGTTTGTGCGGCAAACAGTTCTTAGAAAAATATCCATCAAAGATCATGCGCATCGATTCGATTCAAGAAGACGGCACATGGGTAAAAGAGCCACGCGATGAAATGTACATCAAGTGTTTTGACAAAAGCATCCGAAATGTGATCCTGAACGGTGATGGCCTGGAAACAAAGTTAGACGTGGTCAATGAATTCTACAAGGGCGAAAAGATGGAGGGTGTTGTGAAGGAAATCCACTTCAACGATTGGCGCAGATTGGATGGTGCTGGTATCAAACTTGTCGACATGCTGAAATCTGCTGAGACCATCACCATCGATTATGCTGCCATCGTCGAGGATCCGTACGATGGCATTTTCAAGTATGCGCCAAATCTGAAACACTTGACTGTTCGAAATTCGAATTTCACCAGCACCGACTGGTTGCAACAACGATACGCCAAACTTGAAAGCCTCGAGTTGCATTCACCTTCGCTAGGTCCAGATGCAAACAAGATAAAATCATTGCTCGACACCAACCCAAACATTCGACGATTCTCACTTTTTTGCACAAATGTGGATGACATCGTTCAATTGATGGCAAAGAATGTGAAAATTGACGAACTGTTCGTGCATTTTAGATCTGGTCCAAGTGGTTGGAACATCCAATTCAACTATACGATGACTGTTCTGATGAAGTTACTCGCTGTTCAAAATGTGAACTTGCATCTGGTGGTTTCCAAAGCTGATATCATTTCGCAACTGGCATTCGTACATTTGAACGTGGTTGGCCTGCAATTAAACGTTTCCATTGACGAGGTGCTTACCACAATGTATACATTCGACAATCTACAGTTTTTGCGGATCGCAGCATCACATTTACCATATGCATATGCCGATTTGATTGCAAAGTTGCCCAACTTGAGTCAATTGTATATCGACGAAATTTTTTGCGACAATTTCGAAACATTTCATCAAACCATGTTGGCTGCTATTGGTCAATTGGTGAAACTAACAAAAATCTCTCTCAATGGTTTCACAGACCAACTCACCAAGATCGATTTTCTGGCATTCGACCAGGAACGTATGGAACTTCATGGCGCTGCTCATTTGAAGATCTTCATCCATCCAAAGGACTTTTTCGCTAGTTTCCCGCTAAAGTTCGTTGAATTCGAAATGATCGAAATTATTGCAGCTGAATCTGAACCATCCAACTATCCATTGTTCTTGAATTACATTCATGGCATGTTCGGTCACAAAGCCATTAATTTTAACTTGAATAACACTCGTATTGACGATGGTGTTCTGAACTATCAGCATCCAGCTGATACCTGGGCGAATTGGAGGTGTAGCCAACCAGATTGGGCAGTCGGATCTGGCAATGCTGATGATGATAATTGGGACAAACCAAACGATGCTAGCAATTTCCAAAAATATCCCATTGATGATTCGGATGACCATCATGCTGGGCCGAGTGGCATGAGTAAAATGGTTGTAGCAGACGATTCGGACTGGTCTAATTAGTAAGATTTCTGACGAGAAAAATTGCAAATCTCAAATTCAAGCATTCAACAAGAAAATTTATATCTCAAAGCATCTCCGTATTAAGCATATTTGTATTCATATTCAACACTTAGGGAAAAGACTCATCTTTTTATATTTTGCTCAATCTAATAGTATTTGCTCAATTTGTTCGCTCGTTAATTTAAATTTTTTCGTCATCAATTCATGCATGGAACAGGAAAATACATGATTTTTTTAATACAATAAATATTTTGATTTATATTTTGAAGTGTCAACAAAACTCTCTATCGTTATTCTGTGTCTTTTTATTCACATTTAAGCCGGGACTCATAATTAGACAATTCAGAACAAAATGCGTCCAAATACATATGGATCTAATCTACTGGTTTTCCGTTAACTTGCATCCATTCAAGCCGTACTGATGCCGAAGCTCGTTAGCATAAGCATATTGAGGTGATTTTAGCTTCGATTCTACAATTTAGTGGATTTTAAATGGACCAGTTCAACTCATATTGATCGACGGAATAGGCAATTGATCCGTGCTAGTTGATTAATAGTACGGTTTTCCTCTTTAGCTCTTCATTTTAGCGAAAAAATTATTTTATTCTGAAGATAAAAAAAACTATTTCTTCTAAAGATTTTCTTTAGCCAGTGTGAATGTACTTGACCAATTGAAAGTAAAGTCTCATTATTTCATATCATACATCATCAATTTTATATCATTTGACGTTGCATTCAAAATTCTACACATAAAAAAGCTCATATTTGTTAACATCATAAGCATTTATCTCAATAAAGAAAGACGGAGAAAAAAATCGAAATAAAATTGAATAAAAACAAAGAAATATTCTCTTAACAAAGAACAGCATTCTCTAAATCATGAAAATGTCATCTCAGTACATAATTTGTTTATGAATCGGCGTTCTGATGTTTCTTTCATTCCAATCGTCAGCTGTAAACAAATTTCAATCTCAGTCAGCTCTAAATAAGTTAATGTGAATCTCCTATCTCAAATGCGTCTCATTTTTACAAGTGCTGCATTTTATGATAGAACGTTTGATTCCGCCTTTAAATCACATTCGCTCTGCATGAGTTGTGAACGAGGTAGAAGTTGTGTGTCCATTTGTGTGTCTGTGTGTGACTCTGATGTCATATTAAGCAATGCCGTTCTCCAATACACACTCACATCAAGTGAATAGTGTCTACATTTGATACGCTCGCGTCAGTGGCAATTAGCCGAAACGTCATATTTTTCCATCGCTCGTCGAAACAACACACATTCCTTTGGTTGATGCAATTCACATTTTTAAGAAATTGACAAGAAATTTAGTGGAAACAACAATCGTTTTCGCTATTCGCTCATTAGTGTTGAATAAAAGTGGTTTTTTTTATTGACTTGGCCAAATTAATGGCAAACATTTAGTGCATGAAGTCAATCACATTTTGCATGACATATTGAGGTGAGGTTTGACAATTCCAAAGCAACATGTTTATATTTGTGAACAAAAATAGTTCACTAATAAAAAATTTCTTTGTTCGGCGACAAGGCGATTTATTATGATCATAAAAAACTTGGTGTAGAAATTCAATTGCCAATTTAAAATTGACACTTTTCGACTAAAAATGATATCAACAGTGGCAAATGTTCGAACATTCTAGTGCCAAAAATATTGCGTCCCTTAATGTGATTTTGTTTTAGACCAAAATATTTGGTTCCGGTGTCAACGTTTTGTCACAATTGAGGCAGAGAAGAAAGCTTCTTTTTCTCACTAATCACATGTGGCTTAGGGTGGTCCAAACTGATTTATCATGGTAAGGTATATGCTCAAAATGGCTTAAAATTAAATTGGGCTCAGAACTAGCTGATTCCCGTTTTCAGATCAAGAAAATGTTAAAATCTAGTGGTCGATAGAGCCGTACTTAAAATGGGTGTTTTTGACCATATATATTGATAGAAAAAAATGGACCACCCTAATGTGGCTTGTGCCAACTCTCTGTGCATGACTTTGAATAATTTTCGATCATTCCACTTTTCGACTTTTTTGAAAATATTTGCTCAACATACAAAATTGCTTGTTGGCTCATTGTTGTCTTGACGATTTTTTTTTTCAGTCGTAAATTCCAGGAGAAATAAAGAAATATATTCTACTGAAAGGAAGGCTGGTTCATAGCATCAAAACTCAAGGAAATGTGCTAGTGAAGCACATTGACCGCTGTTACATTGAATCATATTGTCTGGTGGTTTCATTTCACATTTGTTATTTGTGAAACAGTGTCACTGACGGTAAAATCGCCTTTGTCAATAAATTAATTCACGTTTTTCTATGCTAATGATTTTTAAAAGAATTGAAAAAGTCTAATGATTTTTTCTCGTTCATTACAGCACATATTTGACGGAGAATGATGGATTCGTCTCGATTGAAGAAAAGAAGGTCCAGTGAAGAAAGTGTCGAAAGTGCTGAAGCAGCAAAATGGCAGAAAAATGATACGAAAAGTAAGTAATAAATTTTTTTTCTGCCGAAACCAAGGTGATCGGAATGTCATAATCAGTCGTATTCGCAACGCGGGTTGTTGAATCAATTACTGATGATCCAACAACAGACTGACAATCATGATTATCATGGCTGAAGAAAAAAGAAATGATTGAAAATATTGTCAAGTCTGCAATTATGCTCGCCGATACTCAACTGAAACAGATTATTAATCAGGCTGAACCGACTGGTGTCAGGCTAAATCGATTGGAGTCAGGCAATTTAAACTGATTTGAACGAAGAGATAGGGAAGAAATTGTTGAAGCTGCACGTGTGCGATTTAGAAAGTAAGGCAATTTAGAGGCATAGCCGACGTCACGTGGGGCAGATAAATTTGTAAAAAAATGATTGCAATTCGATTAGAATCAATAAGTACATTGCATACGTTTGTTATCAGGCTTGAAATTTTCTTCTGAAAAATCTATTTGGAAAATGTCAAAGAAAACACGTTGAATGAAAACAAAGTAGTGTTTTGCAAGCACATTTTCCGCTTCAACACAAAGAAAAGTTGCACAATGCAAAAAAACACATTTTTTTTAAACCTGAAAACTAAAATGTGTCCTTTCATCTTCCCATTTAAAATTGAATGTTCAAACAATTAATTTCAAACGCAAAAAAGGACAGCAATTTTATCTACATCAAGTGTACATCTTAAAACCGTCTCAGCTAACCAAAATCTCAATCGTTTCTTTTCAGTTTCGACTCGGCCCACACGTTCGGTGACATCATTGGAAAAACTGCGCCAAAGCCGTGGTACATTTGTCTACCGTGACGGTGCCATCACTGGTCCATGTGTGTTGTGCAGCAAGAAATTGTCCTTGTCCTGGTATGATTGGAAGCAACACCTATTGGAGCACACCGATGAAAAACGATTCTATTGTTTCGAATGTAATGCGCAATTCTCCAACAAAGACGATCACATCAGTTGCCCGGCCGATTCGATTATCGATGTGTTTGGTGCCCACGATATAGGTAATGGTTTAGATGGTTTCATTTGTCAGTTGTGTGACCATTTTCAAATCAATGACTACCGTCTTATGGATCATTTGAATAAAGAGCACGAAGATCTGTGTGCATATTATGAGATCCACGTTACTCGAGTGACTCTTGTGCCGGATGTTTGTCCGCAGACACACATCATACCAACGCAATTCAGATACGTCTCACGTCGTGACCGCTATCGTTGTGGTGCTGGCTATTGTACATTCCACGGCAACACACCGGCTGAATATGCGGAGCATTTCCACAAGGCGCACAGCGTTTTCAAAACATTCTACTGTCCACACTGCAATTTGTTGATCAATCGAAAGACCGAACCGACTGTTGCCGTCCAGAATGTTCTTCGCCACATCGAAGCACATGCATCCACTTTGCATCAGTGCTTCAACTGTGAATACGTTACGATGATCGAAGACGAAATGCGAGCACACATGATGGGTGAACATGATGGATTGCCATTGAAATTTTGGCGGAACGCCCGTCGATTCAACGCTTCGCCAGACAGCGAGTTGATTGAAATTGTTCTGGATTGTGCCCTATGTGGCGAACGAGTTCATAATATTCCAGAGTCTTTTGCTCATTTCAAGGACGCGCATCCAAGCCATGACATCCATTTTAAAGCCCTTAAACTCATCAAAGCCACGACCGATGACTTGGAGGTTACTTGTTCGATTGATGACTCATCGCTGCACTATCGCGAGGTATTGGTTTGTGGTCTATGCGATGAGTACTTCACCGATAAACTAAAATGGTTGAAACATTTCTCTGTTACGCATCCACGCAAACCGTATGTGGTTCGGCGCGGTTTTAAATGGCTAGACTCGTATCAACCAGCCAAAAGTGATAGTTCTGGCTTTGACCGGAGCATGCTATTTTTCTGTGCATTTTGCGAGAATGCGAACGGCGTGAAACTGATGTGCAGCAGTTCAGTTGAAGGGATTTACGATCATTGGCAGAAGGAGCACAAGCGATCGGATGCAAAGCCATTCCGATTTTATATGGCCGAATTGGTGGGCTGTTATTATTGTGACGTGATGAGCACGTTTCAAGGTCTCCAAGAACACATGGCTTATGAGCACCCGGACGAGCCATTCGTTGCGGTCAAAGCATTTGAAACGGTGAAACAATGTGCTCTTTGTGACCACTCATTCCATCGACATGACCAACTCGATGACGGTCACGATGAACATGACGAAAGTAACGAAGCTGATGGACATTTTCATATCGATCATGCGTTGGCTTTGGAAGCTAATGTATTCAACCCGATTCGTATGAACGATTTTACACTCTTGAAATTGCTGCAAATTGGCGTGCACAAAAAAGTCAAGTGTGATTATTGCGCCGAGGTGTTCGAAACAAGAGACGAATATCGGGCACATCATTCGTTGAAGCACAGGGATTTGGAGAGATTATCACTAGCATTTGTGGATAAGGAGACCATCAAACTGGTTGGAGATTGTTGCCACCAACAAATCGATCCGAACTCTTTTTACGATCACCTGGAATTCCATACGTATGCACTCAAATGCGATTTGTGCATGTTTCGAACAAGCGATCCGTTCAACTTCATGAAACACAAGGTCAAAACACATGATGATCCAGAGAGTTTGGCATCGTTGTATTTGAATTTTCTGCAGCTCAGGTACTGGCGCAGTGAACTGATTTTCGGTAATGGACTGGTCATCAACAAATTCAATACACAAGGTAAGTTGACCCTTTTTTTGTGTAAAATTTAAAGGAAAATCGTTTTTTTTATCAAAAATTAAAAAAAAACTCATGTTTGAACAATTGTCCTACAAATCGATCAATTTTTTGAGTAAAAATCTAACGATTTTTTTTTAATTCAACATTTGAGGGACCGAATACGATCATCAATCAAGCTTTGAGCAATTTGCTGCACGACTCGTGAACGAGAAAATGCAGGAATATGAAGCGGTTTCGAAGCATGACGTCAGTGTATAGACTTTGGTCGGGACGGGAGGAAGCGGAAATTCTTTAGGAAAATTGCAGAAATCATCGAAATGAAGGTAAGATTGAATTGAAACATTTGGGGTGGATTCAATTCAAGACATTTTCTTGTGTATTTTATTGACATTTTTCAACGAACTATTTTTTGTGGCATTTTTTTGAAAATTCAGATTTTTTTTCCAGTAAATTGATTTTTTTAAATCATAAATTGAAAAAAAAACGATTTTTTTATGAAAATTCAAAAAAAAATCCATGTTTGAACAAATGACACCCATAGAATGAAAGAACAACTTATTAGCCCTTTATCCATAACTGAGACGGAAAAAAACTCAGAGTAAAATAGAGACAAATTTTTATAGAGGCATTTTTCTCGCTACTGGAAAGCGATAGTAACTAGGTGTATTGGGCTTATTTGTAGTTCTTTTTATTTTCTACAATAATGCCGAAGACATCTAATCGTTATCTATTCCCACTAGCGAGAAAAATGCAAAAAACATCTTTTCTACCCAATGCTGAGTTGTGTCACTTTTGCTCGCAACTTTTTTCGTCCCATTTTTGTTCTAAGTTTTTTTCCGTCTCATTTAAAGAGCTCATAAAGTTATTGTTTAATTCTATGGGTGTCAATTGATTTACAAATTGATCAATTTTCTGGGTAAAAATCGGGCAATTTTTTTTAATCAATTTTTTGTAATTTTCCTGCAGATTCGCGGAAAAAAGCAAATATCGAACCGAAACAGTGCAGAAAAAGGACAAGACACACCGTGTTGATGCGACATTTGATGACTACACGACTTCATACGAAAAAATTTAATATTAAGTTGAATCAAAATCGAATTTTGAGCATTGAACAAAATTGCTTGACGCAAACGCATGTTGAAAATTGCTCAAACTAATCGATAATAGATTAATTAGACCCTGAGGTTCATTAAGACAAATAAGGCCTTCAATATTGTGTCCCGCAACGACATTGTCTCCCGCAAACATTTAAAACGCTTCAAAATTGAGATTTTGAAGAAAAAAACTAGCTCTTAAAAGTGATATCGACGACACATTGAACAAAGATTTCATTTCATTTTTTTTTTTGATCCACCAAAATTTATTTTGCAAACTGTCTAAGCACCATAAAGTATGATAATCCACCATTGGCCAACTAAGAAAAACGAAATAATTGACCAAAGGTTAGAAATAATTTTCTTTTCCGTATAAACGATAGTAAAAATTGATAGATAAAAATGGGCCATTTTAAATGGTAGGTTTTTTTTTGGCATGACAACGAATACGATTCAACGAAAGAAAGTGACAAATTTAAATTATTCATAGTTACATGAACAAGTTCGAATTAATATTCACACATATACATTTACATTTCCAAGAATAACACCAGATAGACCGACTGAATAGTTCATTATGTGTTCTAAATATCCTTATAAATCTAATTGTTCATTGTTGAAGAAAAAGTTTCGGCATTTTTGGCTGTGCCTCCAACACCAATAATGTCATCACTTTACTGCTGGGCAAAACTTCGGAAAAGTAAGTAGAAAGAGCAAGAAGATCTTACAATCTGCAAGGAAATAAGATTCATGTGGAATGAATTTTCATTTTATTGTAAATTATGAAAAAAATCGATAATCAGAAAAAAATCAATTGAAACTCTATCGGGAAAAAAGTACTCACAAATGAATATTCTATAAATTAGAACTAGGAAAAAATCTGCCAAATAGTTTAGTACCTTTCCAAAACCCGCCAATGTGCAACTGATCAAATTGAATCCAGTGAAGTTTACCTCTTGATGGGAACGAGCGATGATCAACACGATGTATCTCCTGAATTCGATGGGATAATCATACCAATTCGAATCGTAGACAACGTCGCCAATGGATGAAACCCGCTCAGTGATTTTGGTTGCAAAGTGGGCGAAAAAGTATGGCCACATAACTGAGCTCACAATACAAAGTACGTTGTAAAGCATGAATGCGGGCGACATATCCGCGACTGACTGAAAATTGGATGAAAATTTTCTCCGAAAAAAAATTCAATGAGAATGACTTACGTTTTCTGTGCTGTACATTGATATTCCAAGAAAAATTGCATTCACAGGGAGGAGAGCAAATATTGTTCCGCTATTGATATTGGACACCATCTTGAAGATTCTGTTGAATAAAAAAAGATACTTTTGCCAAATTCATATTTGTCTTTTTCAGAGCTCTCATTTTGTATATGCCTATATTTCGAGCTATTAGTAGTTGCTATTTATAGGCAATAGCTGTTGGTATATTGTAATAGCAGCTACCGAGTTCGCAGTACAAAATTTCAGATTTGGGAAGTCAAATTGAGGATGATCCGAGCGGAATGGGACAAAAAATAAATCGATCCACCGTCCCGAAGGGATGAATGCTAAAGCACTTCTACTTCCAGAACACATTGGATCAGGTCAGGTTCACTCCTCCACAAGATTCACTTCCAGCTCCGCAAATATTTCATGAACGCTATTTTTTGATATAAGCCGAAAACAAAAATAGTAAAAACTTTTGAAATATTGGCTGAGCTGGAATCTTGTGGAGTAGGTGGACCCGACCTGGTCCAATGTATTCTGGAAGTAAAGTCCTTCAGTACTCATTCCCTACGGGAACGCTAAATCTGGGATTTTGTACTGCAAACTCGGTAGCTGCTATTACAAAATATCAACAGCTATTGCCTATAAATAGCAACTAAAGGGTGTTTTTTTTTAATTTTTTTTTTTAATTTCAAATAAAAGGCACAAATTCCGATATTTTGATCGTACCGCTTGGTTTATTTGATAGATAAAACCTTGCAATTTAATGTCCGACATACAGTTTGGGGATATGACCACCTCCTCTCCTTTTTTACCCACCCCTCCTGAAAGTCCATTTTTGAGCTATTTTGGAAGATTTTCAGGTCATACTCTCAAAATTTTATGAATTTTGTTAGACTTTGAAGTGTAAATCGTTGCATTTCATCTGAGTAAACAAATGAATTCATGTATCCCCACGGAGGGGAGTAGCCCATAGCCGTAAAATAGGGTCATTTTGTTGGATGATGTACAGATTGCATATTCGGAATTTTGGGGGGAAAAACCTATCAGGAGACAGTTTCTTCAGTTAATTGATTTTTTTGCTCAAAATATGCTATGATATGGACATTTTATTTAATCCGGTGACCAACCAGGCCAATTTTGTCAAAAACAGTGGACACTTTGTTTTTGGGTATTACCCAAATGGCTATGAACAGAGACTGCTTGATGAAACCAGATTACTGCTCAAAAACAGATTTTGTCACTCTGCACTAATGAGTTTTGGACTAATTCGTATTTGTTTCATTATTTCATGCAAATTTAGGCCAAAACCCGACCATATTTTGAGCACGAAATAACTTTTGTCGCCAATTATAAGCGGGAAAAAGAAAAAAAAATCAGGTCGAAAAATTTTGTGTCCTGAAGACCGTCAAAAAGGAGGGGAGGTGGTCATATCCCCAAACTGTATGTCGGACATTAAATTGCAATGAAAACTGAATACAATGGAAAAAAATGGCTACCAAATGTCAACTAGGTTGTCAAAAAAAAACCCTATTGAAAAAAAAAACGTTAAAAGAAACACCCGTTACTAATAGCTCGAAATATACAAAATGGCATATACAAAATGAGAGCTCTGATCTTTTTTTCATAATTATCTTTTTAATCTTTTTCCTCCTTTTTTCAATATATCAGCACAAAACCTATCTATGTTAGTGAGGGTACAATATTACACCTAGATATTACACTGAATTCATTTGAAAACTATACTAGAGTGTAAATTTATTGAAAAATTCAAATTAAAGTACCAAACTCACTGGAAAATATTAACATGAAGATCGATTGCATCATGAATTTGATCCCTAATTTTGGACCGATTTTCAAGGAATTTTGGCTTATCTTTTTCAATTTGATTTTGTTTGACACTCTTGCGAATCGAGTTTATAATGACGCCAAAACGATCACAAATTGCCTCAATGTAAAAGCAGCAGCACATAAAGTACGACGAAACTGACACCATGCACATGATGTACGAAAGACTAGCACTGAATTGAATGAACCAAAACCAGTACCATCCCTCGACAGAACTTGTATCGAATGGAACGACCATGGTGAAAGGCAAAAACCATGTCGACGTATCGAAATTTCCAAAGCGAATGAGGTAAAAAGAATAGAGGAGAGCAGCTCCAAATGTCGATTGATGACAAAAAATGTAACCAAAAATTAGTTTCGTGTATTTGCGACACATTTGCTCGGTGCTCCAGTAAATGTTGGCTGCATCATTTTCTCGGCCTAGATGAGAGTTTGTTGACACAATTGAAAAGAAAAGAAGAAAATGAAAAAAAATTAGATATTAGGAAAAATGCACATTGACTCTAATTTAGAATTAAAAACGAAAATAATTGGCAAACAAGGTTTTTGGCAACAAAAGTATGGCAGACAATTTTAAAGGGGAAAGATTGTATAGAAACTGCCTTATGAATTAAATAAACTTGAAAAGTATTTGGAAAATAAAAATGTGATGTCAAAAATAAATTTTTTCAGTTAATTACTCATTACCTTTATCAACGATATCTTGCAATTTCAGATGCAAACTCTTCACTTCCTTCCTATTCAGTGTCACGTTCAAGTAAGACCCAATGGCTTGAGAAGCTGCAACAATGAGTAGAATTGCTTCCAATTGTTTCGTAAAATCCGGTGAGATGTGCACAAACACGATACACGAAATTATGACCATAATCAAGTGGAATAAAATGAAGTAAGCGAGAGCAGATTTGTGAAATTCAACCATCGATCCATCTACACGATGTGAATAAATTCCAAGCCTACTCATGAAGACTTGATTATATTTCAACACTTTGTATTTGGCCATTACAAGTGATTCACTTTGTCCTCTAGCTCGTTTATCTTGTCTATTTATTTATCTCGAAATTTTGAATGATGAACTTGCAAGAATGACGGTTTAAGTTCAAAATTTGCACTGAAATGTAAAATTCAGAACACAGTGAGTATGGAATAAAGTGGAAAGCTAGTTCAGGAGGTAAAAGAGATGTTCCACACTGCCGCATACACTGTGTATCTAATTGAATTGCAATTTTTGATTTGAAATAATTTGCAAACTTTTTGTAATTTTTCTTATCGAACGTATTATCGATAGCTTTCGAAGTCACAGCACGACTGGATGAATGAAATCGACATCATTGCTTATATATACCCATTGAAAATGGTCAACTTTGATGACGCTCATTGTCAATCAGTGATTGGTACACTAATAGCACTAATAAATTCGATATGTCATTGGATCATGTCGTAACTATCAAACTCATTTTTTGACATTTTGACTTTGATGCTGTTGAAATGAAAATCGGTTGAGTGGCCCACTCATGGGGAGTTAACCCTCTAATGCATACAACCGTCTTTAGACGGGCAACATTTGAACGCATGTATAGCGTAAACCGTACGTCGTGTCACATTGCATCAATAGTCGCCAAGGTGTCCTCTATAATTTTGTCTTTTGCACTATTAGTCTACATCAAATGTTTGTTGAGTTATAAACAAGAATGTGTGTAAAAACAAAAATTTGACAAAATAAATTATTCCATTTCAAAATAAGACAAATTTTTGACACTTTTAAACAATGGATTTGATTGTTCTCTGATTTATGTCAATCGCATTTCCTGACTAAACCATGTGGAATCTAGGATTATGAATATTTTTTTGATTATCTATGCCCAAAAATCAACCAAGCCTCAGTACTCCCAGGCCTGGGAAAAATTAATGCATTAGAGGGTTAATACTAAAATATCAACATTTCTATACAGTAACATGTCATGTATCGTGGTTTGTTTTTTGAAAGCTTCACCCGGTTTTGTAATGTGGCTGTGATGAATGCATTGCCACGCCTCTGTTGCAATAGGAAAGTTATTTATGCTATCGACATTCGTGTAATGAGCACATTTCCGCCCTAAAATTCAAAAGTAAAAACAATCGAGGGAAACATATTGCATTTGCAATTGTTCCCAGTAAAATCATGAATAAATTGTGATTTGGTGACAGAAATTCGAAATGTGGGTCATTCAAGTGTTCTAGTTTAACAATCAGAAAATGTCGCACATGGTGATTTCTAGAATTGACTCGAACATAGGTAAATTTTCAATATTTGGTTCGCTTCCAGACAAACTGCAGTACATTGGCACTGAACCATTTCTCTGAATAACGTTGCTTGGTGCACAACATCATAAAAAATACCGATAAAAATGTTTTTCCGATTAAAAAACCTATACGTACTTTTAAAGTGAAAGAAGTGCAGATCAAACGTAGGTTAAATGTATATGTAAAATTAGACTATGATAAGAGATAAGATATTCTGCCTTCGGCAAAAACATAGAGCGGCTCAAGTAGCAAGCTAAATTGATTTTTGCGAATGATATTACAATAAAACTATTCAGACAGTTATGGGAAACAGATTCGAAAATTTGAGGAACTGTAATTTTGCTGACGTTGATAATTTGGCCGTCGACGGAAAATCACGATTGGTTGCAGAATAAGTGAGATGAATCGGATCAAATGTCCAGAAGTCTGTTTTTCTTTGATCGACTCGAAGAACTCACACTGAATATTATCGCAGTAAAGAAGTTATAAATTTCATCAGCAGAAAATCAACCTTGATCAAATTGTGTGCTTGCATTCGGTTACAGTTTTATGTCGTGTTCTCAACACACTTTCATCTACCATTGATTTTTCGCTTTGATAGCAAAAGGGTCGAAAAATCATACTATTAAATCACACGAAAAATAATCGACAAGGCTAAATTGTACTGGAATAGATGTAAAATCAATTCAAAGAGTCTAATTGTGTATGAATATTGGCTGAATTCATAGAGAAATATTCCTATAGCGAATCTCTTTCCAGATTATGGCTTCCAAATTTACCTATCGACCATTCCACACGAAATCGACCAAGAATTGGATCGACCCTTTCCGAATTGGCTAAAAATTTGCATGGTGTCTTGTTTTCGATAGAAAATCGGAAAACCAAAATCTTAGGGCTGTAAGTGACCTACATTTTCGAGTTCACCTAGTGTAAATTTTTCAAAAAAGTCAAAAAAACGAAAAAGAATGAGTTTTCAGCAATTGAAAACTAACTGAAAAGTAGTCAACGCATTGCCAAACTACAAAAACTGGGCTAAAAAACTTTCTAGTAACCCGTCCCCTTCGATATATAGTTATATAACCAACCATGCACTAATTAGTGCAAATTAATTTCGTCAAAATCAAAACAATTCTAAAATTAAAATTGCGGACGGAAACATTTGATAAGCTCGATACTATAGCAAGAATTAGTGAGAAAGCTTGTGAAATTCTCTCTTATGCAATATCTTAAACGGAATCAAATCAAAATTCACAGCGTTAATTTTACACTTTCAAATTAATGACGAAATAAAACGAAATTGTTGTTCCACTTAAACGATTAGATCACATTGGAATCGTATTTTCATTAGTTTTATTTAATTTTATAATTATGACTATTGACAAACATCATAAAAAATGACTCATTCTAAACTATCTTCCAAGATGACTGAATCGATTGAATTGTTCATGCTGAATATTTTATTTCCTCTGCTAGATAAGTTCGTCACCAATTAATGACAAGTATAATGGGAGTTATTGCTAAGAATTGCAATCTCTGCAAATCCATAGTCATATATTTGACAGTTATTGGTATACAGCATGACTAATGCATTATTGCGATGAGCTGAACCAATCAAAGGTAACAAATTTGTTCGGGCGGTATAGTTTGGTATCTTCAACGTGTCCAGTTTGACTACAACATGACCATTGCTTTCAATTTTATAATATTCGATATGACCTGGGCCACATTTTTTGTCTCTGTTAAACGATACTCCGTTATCTACATTCTGGCCGAGTACAGAGGCTTCTTCTTCGCCATGACTATGACCCAGAACGAATATAGCTGCAACAGTTGAAAACAATGCAATTTCGTAAAAGTTAGAATGCAAGCGAAAAAAAGAGTCAAAATCGAAAGTAAACAAAATCGAACAGTAGATTAACTTTACTTTTTAGCTTAAATTATCAATCTTCGAAGAATTTATTTATTTTTAAAATTAAATTAAATGTCAAGGAAATAAAAAAAACGTTTCGAACCTAAACACAACATGGAAAAAGCGATATATGATGCCATGTTGAATCGATAAAATTCTCAATGAGAAGAATTCTTTGAATTTAATCCCACAATTAACTGAATGCAATCAGTTAAGTAAACTGTCTAGTTGAGATTTTGTTTGATTTTGGTTAAAAGGTGTTGAGCCGTCGATTTGACCGTATGTTTGAACACCGAATAATTTTTCAATATTGTTGAATCAATAACGTTAGTTTTTATTTTCATATTCCTTGAATTACGACCGTTATTTCAGTGGAACGTCATTGGAACAAAATCATTTCACAGTTGGTCATGGTTTAAATGAAAATTCCCCTATTAAAAATCATCAAATTACAGTAAGTTTTGAGTACAGCTCGTTTATTTTGGATTATTCTTTCGAAATAAAGTACCTAAAAGATTGACTAATCAATTTTGAGAATGTTTTACGGTCCACATACTTTATACATAACAGTGACATTGATTTTTCTCGCTTATTGAATGGCGGATACTATTTTAATTTTAATTTTCTGTTCCACTCTTATCAAGCTATGTCCCACGTTACTAATATTGATATAAGCTTCAACTCGTTTCCATTTTAAGAAAATCTTACATCATGTGAATAGACTATTACACATAACGAAACTGATTTATGCCATGAAGTTCCTCGATACTATTCCATTTGGCATCCCACATTAATTGCTAGGGAAATAATTTCATTTCAAATTACGAAGTTCAAGTTTGGGTCAGAAAATTATTTAATCACATATTTCATACAAAGGATTGAATGTTCAAGTATATTTAGCTACTGCTTATCACGATAATCGTGCATCTGTTCCAATCAACATTATGCCATCCAACCGCATAGTATTGAATAACTTTTTCAGTGAACATTATTCACTGTAATATCAGGGTCATTGAAAAGTTCACCAGAAAATATTGATTGTGAGTGCATTGGACTGTAGTGGATTTGTTCGATTGATAAGGCAATTGACAAAGTTCGATTGTGAGTGCGTTCCCTTGAATGAAGTGATTTCAATAAATATGTTGATGTCAAAAGCAACAATCAACAAGCTGATCTCACTGTTGTGTTCGTAACCGAAGATTAATGTGAAGACGAGGTAGAAAAGGTAAAGAGGGAAATAACTCAAGACACGATTCAGTTTAACGTCTCGGTTTCAAATGAATAAACACAGTAATCACTTTAATACCGTTTACAAAACTTGATTATTTGAATTCAGTGCGATTCACTTGATCAGTTGAAATGTGTGAAAAAACATTCGAAGAAAACAATGACTTGGTGCGAGAAGGTTGTGAAAAATTCTATCTGGACTCGAATACAGCCGATCTTAATTTCATATTCGGAGCTGGTTCTGACCGTATCGAAAGTGTGCCTGCCCATAAAATCATTTTATCGATCAGCAGCCCGGTATTCGAAACGATGTTCTACGGTTCGTTGAAGGAAAAGGCAAAAATTCCGATCGTTGACGCCACTGCCGAAGCATTCAAAGAGTTTTTGCAGCTTTTTTACTTGACCAGAGTGCGTTTAACCGGCGAAAATATTATCGAAGTATCGAATTTGTGTAAAAAATACGAAGTGATCCAGGGGATAAAAGTGTGTGAAACTCCATTGAAAAGGTCATTGACCTTTAACATCAACGATGTGTGCTCTGGCTATGAAGTGGCTCTTCTACTCGAACTAGAAAATGTCGTCGAATTTTGTGAGCAAAACATTCGAGAAAATGCACTAGAAGTGCTACAGACAACGGGGTTTTCGGAATGTGATGCAAAGTTATTCAACAAAATACTTCGATTGGTGTCGTCAAGGTGCTGTGCATCAATTGTGGTTGATACGTGTATGACCTGGGCTAAGGCTGAGTGTGAAAGAGAAAAATTGCGTGAAACATCGGAAAATCTTCGCTCAAAACTCGAATACTCATTCAAGTGGATCCCTTTTAACGAATTGAATGCGGAGAAATTCTCACAATTCATCAACACTTACGAAGGATTTTTCAAAGAAGACGATTTACATCGGATCATTTTGAAAATAATGGCCAAAAATGAACCAACGAAAAAGATGAAAAGTGAAATTGAGGAGAATTCTGGGAAATTGATTTGTGATCGACGGGTGGCTGGAAGTTTGATTGAAGGATATTCTTGGTTTGTGTCACCCGTTTTGAGCTATTTTACATCGAACTCAAAGCTACTACTAACTGGATTCTATTGCGCTCGATTGGAACCATCCGAGTTGTCACAATATTTCGGTATTAGTTGTCGGGCTGCTTTTGTTATTGGCAAAAATGAACCTCTGGTTATCATCGACATTTCACTCTCTTCAACGGAAGAATCGCACATCAAATTAACGAAATCAATTATCATCGATCCAAACATTGAGTATGGTATTTATGTCGAGCCAAACAACGGAATCGAAAGCATTCGTTGGCCAAGAATACCGCTTAGTTCAATGGTAGAATTAGGAAATAGTATTGAAATTCATTTCAGCAGTGGCTATGGCCTAGTTACAGGTTTAGTTCTACAGCGATCAGAGGTTTAGATGCATCTTACTTACCTATTATGAACATGTAACGATTGGAGTACCTTCTTGAACGATGATAAATAAACTGATTTATTTTAAGAACAAGAAGCTACCTTAAATCTCAGGCCTATTGAAGCTATAGTGCTTACCATTTATTGAACTAGTTTTTACTTTATTTCCGTGTTACTGATCATATTCATCATGTTTCAACATTTATTCGATGGAATCAAATGCCCTTACTTAGATTAAATAAAATTTCGTACAAAAATGACAAAATGTTCTGTATTCAATTTGTGTTAAAAGAATTTGTCATTGTTTCAAGACCAATTTTGTGAATTATTCGAGTGGTTTTTTTTCTTTTTATAGATGCTTTTATCATTTCCGATCTAATTTCGTAAGGAGACTTGTAAAAAGTACAAGAAATACTGTCATGATTCAAAAAATTCTTTATGTAAGGTTGATCAAAATACAGTGTGAAATTGGAAAATTGAAAATTTTAAATCTGTTCGTTCACATTTTTACGTTGAGCCAGTTCAATTACGCTTGTGTGAGTGCTATCTGGAGAATAATGCTGATTTATTGCAGTTTCGAAGGAATCACGTGCTGGGTTGTATCTTATTCTCTGAATGAGCTTCGATTTCACTACCATATATCCAGAACACATTACGAATAACATTACGAATATTGCCACAAGAAGATATTTCAACACTCGTACATCTGATGATATAGAAGTTGATTCGATGTATACGGGTTTATAGTTGTCATTGCTTCCTTTAAAGTTTTTCTTCTCAATAGGGGAATTTGGTGTGTTTGAAACAAATTCCGTTGTGGTTTTTGTTTGTATTTCAAGGCCGGTTTTCATTTCAACGGTTTTGGTGATACTTTGAACTTCTTCATGACAATCAACTCCATCGATGTGTGTTTTGTCCGATGGATTTTCGAGAAGTTGTAAATTATCCCACTTAAGTAAGAATGTTGCCAAATAATTGCAGGAAAAACGATTTTTCGATATAGCCAGTGTAGCAAGTGCGGGGAAGGTTGTTTTAGTGATGCTGTTAATCTCCGACAAATCATTTCCCTCTAGGCTGAGTGTACTTAACGTCCTGAAATTCCTCAAGAAATTGGTGAAATCGACTCTTTCCAAGCGATTGAAAGAAATATCCAGCACTTGAAGCTTTCGTTGATTGAAGAATGTACCGTATGCAAAGGTGGAAAGATTTGTACGGCTCAGATTGAGATATTTTAAGTTGGTTAATTCCTTGAATGTCTGTGCACTGGGTTCCTCAATAAAGTTCGACGACACATCCAGTGATTCAACGGATGGCCCAAGTAATGCGATCAATTGCGAAGTGTTTTGAAGTTGATTGCCGGAGATATTCAAGTACTTTAGCTTTTGGAAATTCTCCTTGCTGCAGCGCAGTTCGGAGTTGTTTTGCAGCAAATGGAAAACAACCTCGTCGTCGTTACTCGAATTGATTTGAACATTGTTTCCCATGCAACTAGTATCAATCTCTTCAATATGATCACAGGAAAGCTGCACTGTCTCTGAGTACATAGTCGACGATAGAAATGTGCAATCGAAGCGCATGGGTGGTTTTTCTTTGGGTTCGGTAGTTTGATCGATGACATCGGAAGTTGTGGATTTATTGCTTTCAATTATATGTTGAGTTACAATGGAATTTTCTTTGAAACTCGGCTTGACATTGGGCATATCTTGAGAGGCTGTCGTTTCTTTTTCCGTTGTTGATAATATCGATGATGATTTTGGTGTTATCGTTGATCCAAATGGTGTTTCAGTAGTAGCGGGCAATGTACTCAACTCGTCGCCCGCATGAAAACAGTCGATTCCAACGATATTCGTTTGATTCGTTGGATATGTGATAAATTGCACATCATATATATGCCATCGGTGCAAGAATGACGCCAGATAATCGCATGAGAAATGATTTTTTGAAATCCCTAGTTTATTGAGAACTGGAAAAATTGTTGGGTTTGCACTATTCAACTCATTCAACTCGTTTCCTCCAAGACCAAGTGTGTGTAAATGTTGAAAATTTCGGTATAACAATGTGAAGTTGACTTTTTTCAATCGGTTGAATGATAAATCAAGAGTTTCCAAACTTCGTTGATGATAAAATGTGCTGAATACGAAATTCGACAAGTTCGTTTGGCTCAAATTTAGATACTTCAAATTATAAAATCTTTCAAACGTCTGCGTTTTTATCGGCCCGATGAAGTTCAACGATAGGTCCAACGTTTCAATTGGTATTCCGAGCATATCAATTAGTTTCTGAGTGTTTTGAAGGTGATTCCCCGAAATATTCAGCACTTTCAATTTTGTGTTGTTTTCAAACGCATCATCATGCATCGTTTGAATTGAATTGTGACTTAAATCCAAATGTGTCAATTCGCCCAGTTCCGCAAAAATGTCTTTATCCAAACGGGATAATTTGTTGTATGAGAAATTCATCTTTGACAATCTCCAAAATGGAAATATTATTATATTGAAAATTGATATTTGACAGCTTGGTCGCTCCTTTGAAATCATTTTGATACAGCCCATTTATGTTGTTGTTCGAGAAGTCTATTTCTTCCAAATTCGCCATGTGCATAAAAACTGATCCCGAAATGTTCGTCAATTTATTATTACGTGCCTTCAATTTCTGTGGTGACTCAAAATTCAAGTTCGCAGATGTTAAAATCTCGATTTCAGTGAATGAAATATCATATATCTGCACATTTGGGAATCGACCCGGCAATGTTTCATCCAAGGGATATCCCGAACAAGCTTTCAATTTTTTCACTCCTGAATTATATCCGATTATTATTATTATTATTATTTATTCATTTTAGCGTCATGTGCATTGTCCATTGCTAACATAGTGTCAATTCGGTGATGGTTCTATCAAAGTTCCGAAGCATACTTTGATAATAGACCTGTTTTAAACACCACACTTGGCTTTATCTAAAAACAGCAGAAATACATGTATATTTACAATAATGCAAATTATTTTGCCGTTTTTTCACGATAAGAATCTATGTTATTATATTTCTATAACATTGGTTTTGTTCCAATTTTTTCATTATAAAATTATACAAAATTGAAGGGCTTATAATCATCGGGACGGTGCATATTTTGTCATTTTTCTCAGACTGTTGCATACATGCACTTCCTAGTATTTCTACAGCTATGTAATTAAACAATGGGTATGTCCAAATTCCATATTGTGAACATCATTCCGGCGCATAATTAATGATAAGAAATCTTACAGTGAAAAACCTTGAGAGCTTCGTTCAAATGAGGTACATGGCTTAAATGATTTTATTTAAAATTTGTGAAGAAAAGGATGCATCTGATATAATCTCTGAACGAATGTCGAATGAATACTGAACGGAAACTTGAGAAGGAAGAATGAACATTACTCGTATCTTTTTCATTATATTTGATTTATTTGAATTTTGATTTTTATCTAAATCATTTATCACTCAATCATGCGCAAGTCTCAAATGAATAAACAATAAAGTTTCAAATAAGTCTTTATATGAAATTTATCAAAATACAACATTGAAAATTGGGAATGTCCATTGTCCACTCTATTCGTGCACACGATCACGTTGAGACAGTTCAATTACGCTTGTGTGAGTGCTATCTGGAGAATATTGCTGATTCATTGTGGTTTCGAATGAATCGCGTGCTAGGTTGTATTTTATTCTCTGAATGAGCTTCATTTTCACTACCAAATATCCAGAACACATTACGAATAACATGACCAACATTGCCACAAAAAGGTATTTCAATACTCGTACATCTGCTGATAAGGAACTTGATTCGGTGTCTACGGGTTTATAGATGTCGTTGCTTCCTTTAAAGTTTTTCTTCTCAATCACGGAATTTTGTGTGCTTGAATCAAATTCAGTTGTTGTAGTTGTTTGTACCTCATGGCCTGATTTCACTCCAACGGTTTTGGTGATACTTTGAACTTCTTCATGGCAATCAACTCCATCGATGTGTGTTTCGTCCGAAGGGTTCTTAATTAGTTGTAAATTATCCCACTTAAGTAAGAATGTTGCCAAATAATTGCAGGAAAAACGATTTTTCGATATAGCCAGTGAAGAAAGTACGGGGAAGGTTGATTTAGTGATGCTGTTAATCTCCGTCAAATCATTTCCCTCTATGTTGAGTGTATTTAGCTTCCTGAAATTCCTCAAAAACTTGATAAAATTGATTTGTCCCAAGCGATTGAATGCCAAATCAAGCACTTCAAGTTTCTGTTGATTGAAGAATGTACCGTATGCAAAGGTGGAAAGATTCGTGTTACTCAAGTTAAGATATTTTAAATTGGTGAATCTCTTGAATGTCTGTGTACTGGGCTCCCCAATAAAATTCGACGATACATCCAGTGTTTCAACGGATGGCCCAAGCAATGCGATCAATTGCGAAGTGTTTTGAAGTTGATTGCCAGATATATTCAAGTACTTTAGCTTTTGGAAATTCTCTTTGCTGCAACGTAGCTCGAAGTTGGTTTGCGATGAATGGAAAACGATCTCGCCATCGTTTCCCGAATCGATTTGAATATTTTTTCCCATGCAACTGGTATCAATCTCTTTGATATGATCACAGGAAAGCTGCACTATCTCTGAGTCTATAGGGGACGATAGAAATGTGCACTCGAATCGCGTGGCTGGTTTTTCTTCAGTTTTGGCGGTTTGATCGGTGACATCGGAAGTTGTGGATTTATTGTTGTCGATTGTACGTTGAGTTACAGTGGAATTATCTTTGAAATTCGGCTTGACGTTAATCATATCTTGAGAGGCTCTTGTGGATTTTTCCGTGGTTGTTGTTTTCAATGTTGAGGCTGATGTTGGTGTTGTCGTTAATCTAGATGTTGTTACAGTTTTGGCACTCAATGTAGTCGATTCGTCGTTTTCATGAAAACAGTCAATTCCATCGATATTCGTTTTATTCGTTGGATATGTGATGAATTGCACACGTACGAAAGCATTATGTAAATGCCATTGAGGTAAAAATTTGGCCAAATATTCGCACGAGAGGTGATTTTTTGAAATTCCTAGTTCATTGACGGTTTGAAAAATCTCTGGGTTTACACTGTTCAACTCATTCAGTTCGTTTCCTTCAAGACGCAGTGTGTGTAAATGTTGAAAATTTCGGTATAACAATGTGAAATCGACTTTTTTCAATCGGTTGAATGATAAATCTAGAGTTTCCAAATTGCGTTGATGATAAAATGTGCTGAACCCGAAATTCGACAAGTTCGTCTGGCTCAAATTTAGATACTTCAAATTATTAAATCTTTCAAACGTCTGCGCTTTTATCGGCCCGATGAAGTTCAACGACAAGTCCAACGTTTCAATAGGTGCTCCGAGCATATCAATTAGTTTCTGAGTGTTTTGAAGTTGATTTCCCGAAATATTGAAGTAACTAATTTGTTTGAATCTCACTTTGCTGCACAATTTGAACGTGCCATTTGCCACAGTGAAAACGATTTCATCTTTGTCATTCGAATCAATTTTCACAGAATTTCCAATACAACTTGTGTCGATCTCTTCAACAAAATCGACTTGCACATCAACCGAGTTCACCACCGGTGAAATAATATTCAAATTCAATCGCTGGATTGGATTGTCATTTAGAATTAAAACTTCCAATTTTCTTCCACTTGTAGCAAATAGAAGCGGAAAGAATGTGTTGGAATCGATGGTAGTTAGTCTAGTATTCTGTAGATTCAAATACTTCAAATTCATGAATTTTTCGAAGACTTTCGCACTCAAATTTCCCATAAAGTTCGAAGATACGTCCAACGTTTCGATCGGTGGTCCGAGGAACTGGATTGTTTCTTGAGTATTTTCAAGCTTATTTCCCGAAATGTTGAAATACTTCAACGGCTCGAAACAGTATCTACTATAATCTAATCTGTTTTCTGACAAGGTTACATATCCGTTCTGGAATTGTATGTTTTCTGTGAAGTAGCTGGAGTCGAACTCTTTGACATGATCACAGGAAATATCCACCGAAACCGGTTTAGTCAACAGAATGAGTATATTCTGATCAAAACGTTGAATTGGGTTATTCTCCAAATTCAGCTGTTGCAATATTGTGTTGTTTCGAAACAAGTCCCCATCAATCGTTTGAATCGAATTATAACTTAAATCCAAATGCGTCAATTCTTGCAGTTCCGCAAATATGTTTTTATCCAAAGTGGATAATTTGTTGTGACTTAAGTCCAAACGCGTCAATTTGTTCAGTTCCGCAAATATGTTTTTATTCAAAGTGGATAATTTGTTGTGACTTAAATCCAAATGCGTCAATTCTTGCAATTCCGCAAATATGTTTTTATTTAAAGTGGATAATTCGTTAAAGGCGAAGTTGATAACAGTTAAATTGCATGTATGTGTAAAGAACCCCGTCTCTATAATGGTTATATTGTTATGTGAAAAATTGATTAATGACAATTTGGCCGCTCCTTTCAAGTGGTTTTGACGAAGACCTTTGATATTGTTGTAAGAAAGGTCTAATGTGGTTAAGTCGGGAGTATAAACAAATAATCCTTCATCCAAAATGGAAATATTATTATGTTGAAAATTGATCTTTAACAGCTTGGTCGCTCCTTTGAAATCATTTTGATACAGCCCATTTATGTTGTTGTTCGAGAAGTCTATTTCTTCCAAATTCGCCATGTGCACAAAAACTGATCCCGAAATGTTCGTCAATTTATTATTACGTGCCTCCAATTTCTGTAGTGAACTAAATCCCAAACCGAAAGACGTTAAAATCTCAATTTCAGTGGATGAAATATCATATATCTGCAGATTTGGGAATTGACCCGGCAATGTTTCATCAAAACGGTTTTCCAAACAAGGTTTCAATTTTTTCACTCCTGAATTAAATCCGTTTGAAAAAATGTATCTGTAACATTGGCAGGAAGATGTATCATAAGAATAATAGCCATTTCTCCACTTGTAACTGGTACAATCGCCGTCGTAACTGTCACTGCAACTTAATTCCACTGAATAATATTCATGATAATAACTATATGAACCAGTTGAATGACTACAGCCAGAAATTGCTCCTGAACATATAATAGTGTGTATGCTCACTAAAAGCAACAAAATGCAAATCACTCTGTTTCTCATTTTACTCAATTTTCTATGAGCCTCTGTTTTGTGTAAACACTTCAACAAAATGTTTCAAACTGATCTCTGAGTATCGTTTATGAATAACAAATGCTTCATATTCTCCCGAGAAATATGGAAGTAATTCTGGGATACCACGCGCATAAGATAACAACACTTTATGCTAAAAGCTACAATGTTGCCTGTTTTTATCATCTCATAGTTCATTTCCTTTCAACGTTTTTTCAGATCATCGAACGATGTACAACATCAACTCTAGGATATTTATCAGAATACTTCGCAACACCAGTTAAACTTGAAGTGTAAAAATAATTCGTACAACAATGTTGTTGACTTATCAATGATCTAAAGGAAAAATGTGGGATTTGTACTTTGTATGTCCATTGTCCAATGTCCATCGTCCATATCAACACAGTCTCAATTCAGAGATGATAATTTTATCAGAGCTCAGTGCCACATTTTAGCACTTAGTTAGATGAATGACCTATTTCAAATATTACAGTTGACTTCATTTAAGAAAAAAACAGTGCTAAAATATAGAAAAAATGCATGATTTTCATTGTATGCATGATAACAACAACAGTTTGATTTTTCCATCAAATTGTTTCCATTGATCAATCTGTTACAGAATGAATCAAATTCCATGAGCTCATGATAAACGGAACGTGGGTTGCATATTTTGTGAGAATAAAAGGCAAACCTAAGCGAAAACCTAATAAAAACAATTTGCTCAATTTTTTTCCAAATTCAACAATGTTTTCTAATGTCTCGTTCCCAATGCTCAACATGAGATTGTTGAATGTTTTGTTTTGCTTCATCAATCGCTATGCACAAGTCAATGTGTGCGTGAACTGTGTGTGTCGTTTTCGTTCAGATCTGTCAAAGTCTGAAGCGTAGAGCAAGTGACAGTTCTTTGCACAACACAATTCATTTGGTATCTGTACACATCGAAGTCTAAGCTATTTCACAAATTTAAATCAAACAACATTCGCAATTGTTCGGAAAAATTGCAAAAATGCCATAATTTGATTTAAAAAAATTGTTGAAAAGTAAGTACGCCATGGACAAAAGAAAAAGATGAAGAAAAAAAACGCTTTGTTGGCTTCAAAATTGCAACAACAATAGGTATTCTGATGCCATTTTCTCAATATTCCATTACAGTCAACACAACGATGAGCGACACAGTGAAAGAGCAGTTGTTCGAAGAAGACAACGATTTGGCACGAAGCAATTGCGATAAGTTGTATCTGGATTCAACGACCGCTGATGTGAATTTCGTGTTTGGTGAAGGCATCGACAGCGTTGCGGCCCATAAAATTCTCTTAGCTTGCGTCAGTACGGTATTTCACAGGATGTTCTACGGTTCGTTGCCTGAAAAAGGAGACATTGTCATTGAAGATGCATCTCGCGACGCGTTCAAAGAGTTTCTGCAATTTTTCTACTTGAGCAAAGTGCGACTGTCGTCGGAACACATCTTTCAAGTGGTAAATTTGTGCAAGAAATACGAGATGGCCGATGCGTTGAAACGCTGCGAAGCTCCGATGCAAAAGTCATTGAAAATCAACAACATGTGTACGGGTTATTCAGTGGCATTACTGCTTGAAATGAAAAATGTCATCGAATTCTGCGAACGAGAAATCAAAGAGAAGCCAACCGAAGTTTTGAAATCGACTAATTTCTTGGAATGCGACCACAAACTTCTCGACAAAATACTACAGTTGGTGTCATCGAAGTGCAGTGCATCAGTGATTGTCGATGCGTGCATGGCTTGGGCCAAAGCCGAATGTGAACACAAAAATGTGCGCATAAGTCCAGCATCTTTGAAGACACAGCTCAAAGATTCACTCGAACGAATACCGTTTGCTGAATTGACCAAAGGACAGTTCGCTGAATTTATCGCTGCGTACAATGGGTTTTTCCTCAAGAAAGACTTGGAAGAAATCATTTTGGAGGTGATGTCAAAGAAAGCAAAGGCAAATGTTCCAGCCCCTCAACCGTTGTACGTACTGGACTGTGACAGACGATTGAAGAACAAAGCACATATGTATGCTCGGCTCACAATGCCAAACTTCAGCACCTTTGATACAAACGCACGACTTTTGCTCACGGAATTCTATGTCGCAAAAGCCTCACTCCCAAAAGCATTACTCACTCTGGCAAGACTATCGACCCGTGGCAAAGAATTGAGCGGAACGGTACTTAATCTCATCCCAGATAAGACCACTCATGTCGTTCTACCCAACCCGATT